AATCAGCAATGTCTTCCCAAATTTTCAAATATTTCACTGAAAATTTCCCAGTTTCACTGCTATTTTATTTGTAACATGTAAGACATTTAGAAGCTGAATCAAATCATTGGCTCACTTTGCCCTATAATAGAGTAGAACCCAAGAAGCAGGGGCTTCCCAACATTTAAAATATATTTTATTTACTTAAAAAGGAAAATAAATTTTCCCCTCAAATAATTACTAGCTGTGGTAATTATTAACAGAGTCTTATGAAAACAAAGGAATGAACAAGAAACGTAAACAAGTGTAGATGCATCTTGTGAACAAAACCATGAACACCTCTAAAAGTTACTAGTCCCTAGGAGGATTTTTTGCCTGGTGAATATTATTGTCCACAAGGTATGGTCAAAGAGTCAAAATGGCAGCCACAATGATGATTAGGGGACTGGAGGCTAAAACATATAAGGAACGGTTGCTGGAATTGGGTAAGTCTAGTTTACTGAAGAGAAGGATGAGGGGGGACATGATAGCAGTGTTCCAATATGTCAGGGGCTGCCACAAAAAAGAGGGAGTCAAGCTATTTTCCAAAGTGCCTGAAGGCAGGACAAAAAGCAATGGATGGAAACTAATCAAGGAGAAAAGCAACCTAGAACTAAGGAGAAATTTCCTGACAGTTAGAACAATTAATCAGTGGAACAACTAGCCTCCAGAAGCTGTGAATGCTCCAACACTGGAAGTCTTTAATAAGAGACTGGACAGCCATTTGTCTGAAATGGTATAGGGTTTCCTGCCTGAGCAGGGGGTTGGACTAGATGACCTCCAAGATCCCTTCCAACTTTATTATTATTATTATTGTTGTTATTATTATTATTATTTATGGTATGATTGAAACTTCATTTTTTAATGTCTTCATTTTTTAATGTCTTCATTTTTTAATGTCTGATATATAAAAAATAGGCTGGAGTTTTGATTGCAGCATTATGGCCACCATTTTGATATTTTTTTTTAAACCAATCCTGAGGAGACTCCTGATTTTACTCTTTCTGAAATATTTCAACAGATTCCCAGCTGTTTTTCTTTTCTTCTCTGATCCTTTTCATTCACCTTATCCCTATCCAGTTTTGTTCTCTCCTCCTCATTTTTTCCTACCCTTCATTTCTAAAGCTAATTATTCCCCTTCCCTATTATTTAGCTTGCCTCCTGGGGTTGTGGGTGTTCCATCACTGGAGACTTTCAAAAAAATAGACTGGACAGCCATTTGACTGGGGTGGGATAAGGCTCTACCTTGAATAAGGGGCTGAAGTAGAAGACTCCAAAGTCCCTTCTGGCAGAGCCAGTTTTTGGGCACTCGGTCTCTAAAAGGTTCGCGATCACTGCCCTAGGTTAATATGGGAAACTGAACAAAACAGAGATTTTTGCCTGTGTTTTTTGTGAATATAGTTTTTTTTTAAGGGTCTATTTTCCTTCCAGGTTAATAAAGTGTTTGGGAAAGCTGAGAACTGAACCTTATTCATTCAAAGCATGTCTTCTGTCCCTGAGTAGCAGCACAACTTTCTGTTTTTCTTTATTATAGTGAAACAACTTTAGGCCCATTTGCTATATACTGTAGAAGATCAAGGGGCCACAATAAAATGGCAGGTTTTATTTGCTCACCTGTCCCCATCACGAATGTTTTGGAACTGTTTCCGAAAGATACATGCCAGCAGAGGCCCAACTCTGCCATTCCGGATGAGAGGCTCAGCCACTCCCCCAATCCAGAGGTCGATGTTCCTGGGTGTCCCGTAATGCCGAATGAACTTTTTGGCCAGCTGAGAATTCTGGAGGACCTGGGCCAGATCATTTTCATTGCGAGGTTGTGAGAGGCCACAGAATTGTCTCCAGGCATTATAACCTATAGAACAAGAATGGTGGTCAAGAGTTCTGCTCGTCTGAAAAATGGTGTTCTCCCTAGTATCATTCTATGTTGCAATCTCAAAACATCTTTAAGGCTGAGCTGTAATTTTCCACATTATTCTTGGCTATTTGGCAGCAATCCACAACCTCTACTCTTGTTACCTGGTAGACCGTGATCTCGGCCACGCTGCATGTTCAACGCTGGCAGATCCAATCCTAATTTTGCGACTTGTTGGAAGAGTCGGTCTCGCAGAGCCTCTACTACTATCTGATCTTGTCTCAGTTGTTTGGCTGGTGTACCTATTTGGCCTCGCAGGATGGGATCGATGCCTCCTGGAAGAGAGAGGAAATAACGTTGAAAAGCAATGCCCATCTGTAGATCTCAGCCTAGCATTTGAGTGGGTAGCCTGAGGTCTTCACAGCTGAGCTGAAGAACTCTGCTGAACCAGCAGAAAACTCAAGGGGTATAAAATTTGATGATTTCTGGACAACTCCAATCTTTATGAT